AAATATCTTCTGCAAGCTTTCTCTACTCCCTCAGCTCTTTGAAGTAGTACCTCTTGTGCAGCCCTGTTCTACAAACCAACCATCTCAATTGGGCTATAAAAGTTTTAGTACTAACCGTGTTGAAAAAAACATTTTTTAAAAAAGAAGAAAAGAAAATGCCGTTTTGCCAAACGAATCCAGTAGAACCCATTCAATATATAGATAGTCCTCAACTTACTACCCCAATTGAACCTGGAATTAAATCATGGCAATTGTTAAGTAGGTCACCAGGTGACTATGCCTGATTTTACAACCCTTTTTTTTGCAGTGGTTGTGAAATGAATGCCACAGTTTTTAAGCAAACCCATTTTTTTCAATGGGCATTTTTTGCCAGAAACTGACAAAAAACACCAAAACTTGTGATCACAGGACTTTGGGACGCTGCAAAATAGCCATAAATGTGAGTCGGTTATCAAGCATCGAAAATGCAAATGTGACTGTGAGTGTGTGTGCGTGTCTGTGCATGTTCCTGTTGGAACTCCAAAACCAGGTTGTAAGTAGCTCTGGAGACGTTTGTAATATCTTGTTGCTAAGCAAACAACATGCAAACTATCCCCAATTTCCTTACAAGTTGGAAGGGGCATTTAGGCCACTGACTCCAAACTCCTGCCCAGTGCAAGTAAAAGAGAGATGATTGCATACCCTCTACTTTTCTAGGCAACTGGTTGCACTCACATGCTCTTCCTATTACAAAGTTTACTCTAACATTCAGTTAGAAACTACTTTTCTGCACTTACCTTCATTATCCTGTTGCATGCAAGAAAGAACAAGTTCTTCTAAGGGATGTTCTTTCTGGTATTTGAAGAGCGGTATTATATCTTCCCTCTGTAGGGATATCCACATAGAGAATGAAAAAGGTCAAGAGTGTGAGCAGGATCATGCAATCAAAGTCCTGACCCCCGTTAACCCCTCCTCCCCCTTGCTACAGATGCTTCGGTCTATCATATTTTCTCAAATATAAACATACCAAACTCATTCAATCTTTTTTCATAGTTCCTGTAAAACTATCCAGTTTTTCAAAATATTTCTTAAATTGTATTACCTGGGAATGGAGATAATATTTGAGATGGAGTCTGACCAATTTGGATTGCTACACAGTGTAATTGCTGTGATTTGAAAATTATAGTGCTGTTGATGCAGCATATCTCATCGCTGACTCATTTGTAATCAACTCCTGTTCTAAGATCATTTTCATAATATGGGTTTGTGTATTAGGATAATGGGTTTTTGTGTGCATGCGTGTATATATGTGCCTGTGTGTGCATGGCTTGAAGTCAGTGAACTCCTGGCAATTGTCCGAACTAGTCCCTGCAGTTTTCTTGGCAAGGTTTTTCAGAAGTAGTTTGCCATTGTCTCCTTCCTAGGGCTGAGAGAGTGTGACTGGCCCAAAATCGCTCACCTGGCTTTCTGCCTAAGGCAGGTCTAGAATTCAAGGTTTCCCAGTTTCTAGCCTGATGCCTTAACCGCTACAACAAATTGGTTCTCAGAATTGTCATGAATCCAACAGATACTCTGCCTTCACTATGACATAACTACCGGTACTTAAAAGTACTTAACCACCAGAGGGCTTTTGCTCTGACATGCCATGCTCTTCCCTCAGCTGTCCTTAAAGGATGATACAGGAAGATTCCTTATCCTGACAATGCCTCTGTGACTCTGGATATACAGAAACAATAGAACCTGTGTTTCTCCAATGCCTTTATTACAGAGACTGTGCTAGCCTTTGGTGCTGTGTTGAAGGGAGGAGTAAAACTGCTGACTGCCGTTAAAAACCTAGACATTATATTGGAGTATTCTAATTCTCCAGAAAGAAAAAAGGGGGAAGGAGAAAGTTGCAGGAGAGGGTAACCGCAGCTGCCTCTCAAGGGGCCATTAAAAGAGGTCAAGTAGTAAATAGAGAAAACCTAAGCCTTTGTTGTGCTGCTGATTCCAGAGAATTTTTCAAATTTCTACTGCAGAAATTCTACACATATTCTATATTTGGAATAACTTACATCTTAGACTTAACACTGAGTTTCAATCCTTTTTACAGAAAAAAACAGGCAAAGGAACTCCAAAGGAAGCGGTGGTGAGGCCCCTCCTTAAGAAGCCTTCCCTGGACCCAGATGTATTAGCTAACTATCGTCCGGTCTCCAACCTTCGCTTAGTGGCGAAGGTTGTGGAGAGTGTGGTTGCGCGGCAGCTCCCCCGACACCTGGAGGAAACGGTCTATCTAGACCCACTCCAGTCGGGCTTCAGGCCGGGATACAGCACGGAAACAGCATTGGTCACATTGGTGAATGATCTCTGGAGGGCCCGGGACAGGGGTTGTTCCTCTGTCCTAGTTCTTTTGGACCTCTCAGCGGCTTTTGATACGGTGGACCACGGTATCATGCTGCGGCGTCTGGCTGAGTTGGGAGTGGGAGGCACGGTTATGCGGT